CTATGTTTTCTTCTAAGAAATTTATAGTTTTAGATCTTATGATTTGGTCTTCAATCCTTTTTTAGTTAATTTTTGTATATTATATAATGTTAAGGTACAGGGTGGGGAAAAAGTGGGCTAACAGTTGTGAATATTCAAAATACAGAGTTTAGCCAAAACCGGTTTGGCTCAGTGGATAGTGCGTCAGCCTGCGGACTGAAGGTCCCGGGTTCGATTCCAGTCAAGGGCACATACTCTGGTTGCCGGCACATCCTCAGTGTGCAGGAGACAGCTGATTGATGTTTCTCTCTCATTGATGTTTCTAGCTCTCTCTCTCCCTTTCTCTCTGTAAAAAAGCAATAAAATATATTTTTTTAAAAATACAGAGTTTATACTTGTGTTACTATTTATTGATTATTGTATTACTAGTGGCCTGGTGCACAAAATTTGTACACAGGGTGGCGGGGAGGGGAGTATCCCTCAGCCCAGCCTGCACCCTCTCCAATCTGGGACCCCTCAAGAGATGTCCAACTGCCGATTTAGGCCCAATCCTTCTCACAATCAAGGACTGCTGGCTCCTAACTGCTCACCTGCTTGCTGGTCTGATTGCCCCCAACTGCCCCTCCTGCGAGCCTGATCACCCCCACCTGCCCTTCCCTGCCAGCTTTATTGCCTTCAAATTCCCCCCCTCCCCTGGCCTGCTCACCCCCAACTGCCCTCCCCTGTCGGCTTGATTGCCCCTATCTGCCTCTGCCTCGGCCCCACCACTATGGCTTTGTCCAGAAGGACGTCCAGAAGGTCTCCCGAAAGGTGTCCCAGTCTAATTATCATATCACCCTTTTATTAGTATAGATTTTCTATATAAATAACTATAAACCTGCTTTTGCCCCATCCTGTATATTGTGTAAAGTGAGAGTCAACTTTATTCTTTTTTGAGCACCACTTGTTGAAAAGACTGTCTTTTTCTTTTTTCTATTGAATATTCTTGGTGAGTTTGTAAAAAAATCATGTGATCATCTATGCAAGGGTTTATTTCTGGGGTCTCTATTCTATTCCATTGGTCTATGTATCTGCCTTTATGCCAATAGCACTGTTTTGATTACTATAGCTTTGTAATAAGTTTAAAAAAATATTTATTTATTAAATTGATTGGGATGAGGCCGGGAGGAGCCAGGCCCAGAGCAGCAGCAGCCAGTTCGGGAGCGGCAGTGGCCAGACCCGGAGCAGCTGGTTGTGGAACGAACCAGAGCAACAGAGGCCAGGCCGGGAGCAGCCAGGCCCAGAACAGCTCGCTCCTCGCCTGCCCCTGCCCCAAGGCTGCCTCTCAGACATGGCTGGAAACTTTTGGGGGAACTTGAGGGTCTGCTGAATCAAGTGATAAAGGCTTCGATCTGGATGTGTTGAGTTAGTATAGCGCTGGGGTGTTGATCTGTGAGTGCCTTCTGTGGGGTCTGGATGAGGTTGGTTGATCTATTTGGAAATGTCTTTTGTGTGAAGTGTATTCTTGGGCATGTGGAGGTATTATTGATTTGAGAAAATGCTAAGTAACTGATTTACTATTTGAAAAATTTAAAGTTCTGAAAGTTTAAGGTCTCTTTCCAAAAAGAGGTTTTATAGCTAACACCTTAATTTTAATGGAGAAAGGGGGAAGACAAGCCCTTCCCACCCAGAACAGGTAATCCAATTCCAACCAGCAGCTACGTTTAAACGATGTGTCCATTTACACTTGAATGGCTACACCTTTTGATAGCCTAAGGGCAAGTTTACATGTAAACAAGTTTGCTTCTCAATTCCCAGGGCAGAAAAAAAACAAAGTTTAAAATTATTAGATTTTAAAATTTATTCTTTAAAGTGTAAAAGTTTATTAATTAAAAAACAACAACAAAAAAAGGAAATTGAAAAACCTGATGAACAATATTAGCTGTTGATTGTAGTAGAGTTGGCGATATGGGAGGGGAGTGGACTGACTATTCTCGGGGAAAGGGGGAGTGGTGGATGAAAGGGGTAAAAGACTGAACATAAACTGTGCACCTATGGATGAGGACAATGGGGGGTGGGGAGGGGGCGGAGGGTGGGGTGGGGACCTGGTGGAGGGGGGAAGAAATGAGGAACCTTTGTAATAATATGAACAATAAAGATTTATTTTAAAAAATAAAAACAAATAAATAAATATAATAAATAAATTGATTGGGATGGCATTGGTCAACATGAACATACAGGTGTGGGTTTTTATGCTATACGATCTGTATATTGCCCCTTGTGCCCACCTCCCAAAGTCAAGTCTTCTCCTGTCACCTTATATTAGGACCCCTTTTATAATAAGTTTTAAAATCAGGAAATGAGTATTTCAACTTTGTTCTTTTTCAAGATTGTTTTGGCTATCTGGGATCCTTTCAGATTCCATATCTAAATAGAATGAATTTTTCTATTTTTGAAAAAAAAATCATTGGACTTTTGATAGGGATTGTACTGAATCAGTAGATCACTTTAGCTAGTATTGATATCTTAACAATAATATGTCTTCCAGTCTATGAACATGGATGTCTTTTCATTTGTGTCTTCTTTAATTTGTTTTAGCACTGTCTTACAGTTCTCCATGTACAAGTCTTTTCCTCCTTAATTAGGTTTATTCCTAAGTATTTTATTCTTTTTGATGCTATTGTAAATGGAATCGTTTTCTTAATTTTCTTTTTAGATTATTCAGTTAGCATATAAAAATGCAACTGATTTTTTGTGTGTTGGTTTCGTGTCCTGCAACGTTGCTGAAATTGTTTATTAGTTCTGACAAGTTTGTGTGAATCTTTAGAGTTTTCTACATATAAGATATAGAAAGTTTTACCTCTGCTTTTCTTTTTCTTATTTAATCTTCTCTGATTAGAATTTCCAATATTATATTGAATAGAAGTAGTGGATATGGACATTCTTGACTTGATCCTGATCTTAGAGGACAGGCTCCCAAGCTTCACTGTTGAGTGTGATGTTAGCTGTGGGTTTTACAAGTTTAGATAATTTCTTACTATTCCTAGTTGAGCATTTTTGTTTGTTTGTTTTGTTTTTATCATGAAAGGATATTGAATTATGTCCAATTGTCTTTTTGTATTCATTGAGATTATCATGGTTTTTCCCTCTTCATTCTGATAATTGCTGAATTACATTGATTTTTATGTTGAATCAACTTTGCATTCCAAGAATAAATCTCAGAGTCATGGTATGTAATTCCTTTTAATATATTACTGAATTTGGTTTTATTAGTATTTTGGATTTTTGCATCAATATTTGTAAGGGATATTGGTTTGTAGTTTTCTTATAATGTCTTTGTCTGGCTTTGGTATCAGGATAATGATAGTCTCATAGAATGAGTTAGGAATTGTTCACTCCTCAATTTTTCTGGAAGAGTTTAACAAGGATGGTGCTAATGTATACTGATAAAAGGATAATATGCATATTGGTCAGGACCCCCCACAGAAATGACTGAACAGCAGCCTTTGTGGGGCCACCAGGCTGGCAGGGAGGTCAGTGAGGAGCAACCAAATGACTGAACAGCAGGCTGCATGGGGTGACCAAACTGGCAGGGGGCCAGTGAGGGGTGACCAGGCCAGCAGAGGGGGGAAGTTGTGGGCGATCAGGCTGGCAGGGCGGGGGTGGGGGGTAATAATTGGGGACCACCAGGTTAACCTGGGGTTAGGGGTGACCAGGCCAGCAGGGGGGGCCAGGGGAAGTTGTGGGTGACTAGGATGGCGGGGGGGAGGCAGTTAGGGGTGATCAGGCAGGTAGGCAGGTGAACAGTTAAAAGCCAGCGGTCCCAGATTGTGAGAGGGGTGTCCCGAATTGGAGAGAGTGCAGGCTGGGTTGAGGGGACCCCCCCTTCACCCCGTGCATGAATTTTGTGCACCGGGCCTCTAGTCTATATATACAAAAGGCTAGTATGCTAAGTGTCCCTCCATTTGATTGGTCTTTATGATGCACACTGACCACCAGGGGGCAGACGCTCAATGCAGGATCTGCCGAGCTGCAGTGCCTTGGCAGCAGTGGTTCTCTCAAAACCAGAGAGGAGGGAGCCTGAATCCTCGAGGGGCCAAGCAATTCCACCTTTGGCAATGAGTTATGTTGTTGCTGGAGCACTGTTGCTCCCGAATCTGGTTTACTGCACACCTGTGTTTGCGTTCCACACCCTGTAGGACAGCAACTTTGAAGAGTGCCCTCTCGCACTCCGGGACCCCACAGCGGGATGTTGGAGAGCTGGTTTGAGCCCAATCCCCACAGGCCAGGCTGAGGGACCCCACCTGCCAGAGGCATCCTGCTCACTCATTCCACAGACACTTTTCAAACCATGGTGCCACCCCAGGCATGGCTGGCTGGGGAGGGACTGAGGGAGGTGGGCTCCAGGATGTGCCTACCCCAGTGGTTCTCAACTTTTTTTTTTTTTTTTCATTTTAAGTTTTTAATGAAAGTTGTATATAAGATTACTTTATTCCTGCATCTTCTCAAGTGTTTCTTCCTTGTATTTTCCCTTTTCCTTTCCTACTTGGCAAGATTTGGCTTTACGTTCAAGGATCTTTTTACGGGCTTTGTCCAGCTTTAGTCTAGTGATTACCACCTTGCTGGGGTGAATGCCCACATGCACAGTTGTGCCGTTAACTTTCTCCTGCTGCACTCGTTCAATGTAGATGACATATTTCTTCCTGTAAACCTGGACTACTTTGCCAATTTGCTGCCCTTTGTAATGTTCTCGAACAACCTGAACTTCATCGTCCTTTCGGATGGGCATGGACTGAACATTGTACTTCTGCCTCAGCTCTTTGGAAAGAGATGACGACATAATCTTCCTTCGAATGTAGGAAGGTGCATTGAAATGCTTTTTATGGTTCTTGCTCCGGTCAGAAGTCACAAAGGGATTGAACTTCATTTTGACCGCTGGCGCTCCTACGATGGCCGCAAGAGGGAAGAGCGGTTCTCAACTTTTTTAATGCCGCAACCCTTTATTTTTATTTTATTTATTTATTATTTTTTTTAATCCAAACTCACATTCTCAACTTTATTCACCATCACAGCGATGGCCCTTCTATACAGTAGAGAAGGGGACCCACCGGAGGTGGGACAGTATTGGCCTGATTGACCGTCAGTGAAGGTTACGAGGCTGACCAGAGACTGGCAGCCACAAGTCAAGGGAGCCAGGGGACGGCCCTCCCAAGTCTTATCAGGACCTGGAGCAGGTTCCAGAGCCCCAGGGGCTAACAGTACAATTCCCAGAAGCCACGGTCTGCAAGCCAGCAAGGAGCACCCAAGGCACCAGCGCGGCCTAGAGAGCAAGGGTGTCCTTGATGAGCCTGCGCATGGTGGTGGTGACCGAGGTGCCCAGGGCATCGGTGATCTGGAAGGAGATCTTGTAGAGGTAGGGCTGCACGTCCCGCAAGCCCGTGTCGAACACGTTGTCCACCTCCGACTGCATGGGCATCTTGGGCAGGTACTCATGCTGGTTCATCACCTCCACGATGTTGATGACCTTCTCACAGAGCTTCTCGCCCACCTTCTCCCGGCAGATATGCCGCTCCTGCTCCGTGGCCAGGGCCACCACGTGCACCTTGCCTGTCCACACTTCCCAGGGGATGCACTCGTCTGAGAAAGGCCAGCGAGACTTCTTCTTCTGGTAGAACTCCAAGGACATCTGCCCTAGCCCGTCGCCACCTGAGTTGCGCAGTGCATCCTTGAATTCCCCAACCACCTTGCGCAGGGCCCGGTCCAGCTCGTCAGAGGAGACCCGCACGTAGGTGAAGTCGATGAAGTCGCAGTCGACATCCTGGGTGCCCACGGTGCCGATGGAGTAGGTGCCCTCCTTCTTGTAGTGGAACTTGCCTGTGCTGCGATGCAGGAGCACCGTGTGCAGCACGGCCAGCATGGCCTCCTCCACCTGCCGCCCCTCCACCGACACCTCCAGCACCTCCGAGCGGCAGTTCATCCTTCGGCCAGTGGCCCACCACAGGGCGGGGACAGGAGTAGAGACAGGGAGCTTCACCCCACACAGGGGCTGCCCGATGCGTTCTGAGTCAGGCTGGAGCCCAGGGCGTCGCTCAGGCTCGGACCGTCCCCTTCCACCTACACCCGGTGAGATCTCCGCAGGTCCGACCCGCCGCAAGAGAAGGACTCCCCGGACCCGCGGCCCGGACGCGCAGCGACTCCACGCGCCGCAGCGCCCGACCACCTAATGCCGCAACCCTTTAATATAGTTCCTCATGTTGTGGTGACTCCAACCATAAAATTATTTTCGTTGCTACTTCATAACTGTAATTTTGCTACTGTTAGTGAATCCTAATGTAAATATCTGTGTTTTCCGATGGTCTTAGGTGACCCTGCTAGTGACCCACAGGTTGAGAACTGCTGCTGTAGAGCACTTTCTAATTAATTTCCTTTCAATGTACTTGAATCTGTGGACTAGGTCACTAGTTCTTATATAAATGTTTGATAGAATTTATCAGTGAAGCTATCTGGTTCAGGGCTTTTCCTTGTTTGAATCTTTTTATTACTAATCCAGTTTATTAGTGAGAATATTTTGAACATATGAATATATTTGAAAAATATATTAATATTTTCTATTTTTCAGGATCAAATTTCGGTAAATTGTGTGTTTCTAGAAATTTATCTATTTAATCTATGGCTTCCAATTTGCTGGCATGCAGTTCTTCATAGCATTCTTTTATAATCTTTTTTTATTTCTGTGTAATCTAATTTTTATTTGTAATTTTATTTTTCTCTACTTTTATTTAAGTCAGTCTAGCTTGAGATTTGTCAATTTTGTTGATTTTTTCAAAGAACTAACTTTTGGTTTTATTGTGTGTTTTTAAAATTATTTTTCTATTCTCTTTTATTTATCTCTGCTCAAATCTTTATTATTTTCTTCCTTCTACTAGCTTTGGGTTAGGTTTATAATCTTTGTTTCTAGTTCCTTCAGGTGTAAAACTAGGTTATTGACTTGAGATCTTTCTTTTTTTAAATTTATAGCTATAAATTTCAACCTTACTACTGCTGTTGCTACATCCATGAGTTTTCATATGTTGTGTTTCCTTTTTTATTTGTCTCAAGGTATTTTCTAATTTCCCTTGTGATTTTTCTTTAATCTAATGATTCTTTAAGGGTGTGTTCAGTTTGTGAATTTTCCATTTTTCCTTCTGTTATTCATTTCTAGTTTTATTTCATTGTGATCTAAAAAGATACTTTGTCTGAATTCAACATTTTAAAATATATTTCCCTGGCTGGTATGGCTCAGTTGGTTGAGCATCATCTTGTACAGAAAGGTTGCTGGTTCGATTCCTTGTCAGGGCACCAAGAAAAATAAATAAGTAAAATATATTAACAAAACACACGTTAATATATATTAAGACTTGTGGCCTAATGTATGGTCTCTCCGTGGAATTATTTATGTGCACTTAAAAAAATGTATTGTTAGGTGGAGTGTTTTGCCTCCATATTGTAATTTGCCTTTAACTCCCTACTGTCAATCAAGACTTCATAGAATATCTTTGTTTTTAATATATTTTATTGATTTTTTACAGAGAGGAATGGAGAGAGATAGAGAGCTAGAAACGTCGATGAGAGAGAAACATCGACCAGCTGCTTCTTGCACATCCCCTACCGGGGATGTGCCTGCAACCAACGTACATGCCCCTGACCAGAATTGAACCTGGGACCTTTCAATGCACAGACCGACGCTCTACCACTGAGCCAAACCAGCTTCGGCAAGACTTTATAGAATATCTTTATACTCATCCCTTTTTAGATTTGCGCAAACTACCCATTTGCTGAATTGCTGAGCTCTGAATAAGCCTATATTGTTATCAAGAATGGCTGTGCCATTCACACACTCACCAGCAATGCCTGAGTCTTCCTATGTTGCCATATCTCTACCAACATCTTTCTACTTTTTACACTGATAGTGTGTAAAGTGGTGGTTCTCAACCAGGAGCAATTTTGCTCCTCAGGAGACCATTGGCAATGTCTAAAGACACCTTTGGTTGTTACAACTGGTAGTCTCCTGGATCCAACATATAGGAAATAGGCCTCTGAGATCCATCTTCAGCACAGCCACCTTTTAATGGAAACGGTTAACTGAATTTTCCCAGGGCAAACAGAATATAGGGAGCAGGGAAGATGGTGTAAGAACCAAAAACTGTGTACGTGACCAGCAGCACATTTTCCAGGAAGGTCCACCTAGACAAAAGATAGTGAAGACAACTAGAAAAGGCCTCAGCCCATTTTTTAGAATAATCCAATAGGAGACAATAAGACGTAGGCCACCTATGAGGGAAACTATTAACCCCCTACTACTAGCCAATGAGGAGCTGGAGGAGGGACTCTCGCACCCTGGAGGTAAAAAGCCTGTGATTGCTGCTCTGTGTGTGTCTGTTCAACTGGACACCCACTCTTTGAAGACCCTATTAAAGTCTCGTTTTCCCCAGCTGTCATGACCACATTCTGAACCTGGAGGTCACGGATTGATTCTGGGCCTGATCCCCAGAGGGTGGCATGCAGGAGGCAGCTGATCAATGACTCTCTCTTATCATTGATGTTTCTCTCTCCTTCTCTCTGAAATCAATAAAAATATATTTTATTATTTTTTTCTTTTAAAAAAATATATTTTATTGATTTTTTTACAGGGATGAAGAGAGAGGGATAGAGAGCTAGGAACATCAATGAGAGAGAAACATCAACCAGCTGCCTCCTGCACACCCACACTGGGAATGTGCCCGCAACCAAGGAACATGCCCTTGATCGGAGTCAAACCTGGGACCCTTCTGTCCGCAGGTCGACGCTCTATCCACTGGGCCAAACCAGTTTCAGCAATAAAAAATATATTTAAAAAAAAGGGAAAAAGTCTTGTTTTTGGCATACTTCATGTCTCCAAGTGTGTTATTTGAATTCAGACAGGTGATCATTTCTCACAAGTGGATAAGATCAGAGATGCTGCTAACCATTTTACAATGCACAGAAGAGCCCCCCAACAAGGCATTATCTGACCCAAAATGTCAATAATGCAATATTGAAAATGCCTGTTTCCAAGCTTATTGGTATTTTTTATTTACATTGTTATAATTACTAATGATTTTCAGCATTTATTTGTATGTATTTTGGCTTTTTGGTTCCCACTTCTATACATTTTCCATGTATTGTCTTTGTTGATTTTTTTTTTATTGACGTAGCTGTCCTTTGCTTGATTTGCAGTAGTTCTTTGTATATTTTACCTATTAATTTCTTATAAATTTTAGGGAGTTCATATATCTTCTCCCTTCTGTCAGCCCCTGTGGAGGATTAAGTTGGCCGCAGATTCTTTGGCAGTTCTCCCATCAAGAGGTGGAAGTCTATGCCCCTTCCTTTGGAATGGAAAGCCTATATTCCCAGGCTTTGTAACTACTTTGACCAGCTCCCACTTCCTGTCTTGTGGAGCAATCCTTGGAGCCTGTGCTACTAAATAGGAAATTTAATTACCTGATGGCAAGATGCCCCGGCCAGCGGGACAGCAACGTGGGAGCGAGGAGACACCTGGAAGGGAATGAGGGAGGACAGGAGACATGGAGAAATGGAGGCAAGACAGGGTTCTGATCAAGCCTTGAATTTTATTGTTGAAGCTGCAATATATATATCCAGGCTGTAAAGGGAGGTTGCTGTGGAGACATTCCAGGGCGGGGAGGCTTGTGTATCAGCAGAATGTGTCTGCAGGGGAGGATACAGCAGAGATTCTCCAGGGCAGGGCGAGTTATCACAACAGGTGTGCCTTGCTCAATGGCCAGATATGCTGCTAGGCATTTAGATTGTTTCTAGTTAACTGCCACACTGCAGCTTGTCACATGAGTTCTGGTAAGTCAGAAACTCAGTGTCTAAGATGGAGGTGTCTTTTAAGATGTAGTCACTAATTCTTTTTCGGCTCCCGACAGCGAGACCCTACAGAGAGGCCCTGACACTATAAAGAGAGGAGAAGGATCCAGATGAATCCAGCCTTTCAGTCATCCTCTCCAAGGCATCAGGAATTGGAGTTAAGTTGAATACCACCCAGGGACCCCAATCAATGCCATGAGGAGCTGAAAAATTGCCCAACTGAGCCCTGCGCTGCAAATAGTAAAATCTAATAAAATGATTGTTGTTTTGTTATTGTGGTTTTAAAGTCTTGACCATTCTAACGCGTGTTCCACATGACACTCGTGTACCCTGATGTGGCTCTGTAAGCCCTTAGGGGGCCCGCGGTGGGAAAGGAGCTGGGACACCAGAGACCATGCCCACTTGACATTTCTAGGTCTAGAGAGATTGGCAGCCAAGTGTCATTTTAATAAAAATTTATTTTTTTAAAAAAAGAAAAAAATGATTGTTGTTTTAAGCTATTAAATATTAAGATAGTTTAATATGTAGGAATTGATAACCAGAACAGTATTCTATAAACTTGTGTCCTATAAACTTACTGAATGCATTAGTAGTTCTAATAGTTTGTCTGTGGATTATGTGGCAGTTGTTCTGGCAGATGATTATATAATTTACAAATAATGGCAGTTTCACCTCTTCTCTTCCAATTCTTACATTTTATTTCTCTTCTATTGTGGTATCAGCTAGAACTTTTCATAGCAAGTTAAATATTGGTAGTGATAGGGATAAAATGAGCCATTGAAATTTTCTTTGGTAAATATAATGATTGCTTTAGATTTTTGTAATATAATGTGTACCAAGCTAAGGAAACTCCCTAGTATTCCTGGATTGTTAACAGGACAGGGATTGTTTTCACCCTGTAAATATGGTGGCAGAGCCATATTTAATTTAAAATAACTATAAGATTTATTTTCTTATTAAAGGCCCGGTGCACAATACTCATGCATGGTGGAGGGGATGTCCCTCAGCCCAGCTTGCACCCTCTCCAATCTGGGATCCCTCAAAGGATGTCCAACTGCTGGTTTACAGGGATCGGGCCTAAACCAGCAGTAGGACATCCCTCTCGCAATCTGGGACTACTGGCTCCTAACCTCTCACCTGCCTGCCTGCCTGCCTGCCTGATTGCCCCTAACCACTCTGCCTGCTCACCCCTAACTGCTCCCCTGCTGGCCTGCTCACTCCAAACCCCTCTCTCCCACCACTGTCTTGATCACTTCCAACTGATCCCCACTGATGGCTTGCTCACCCCCAACTGGTTCCCCTGCTAGTCTGCTTACCCCCAATGGCCCCACCCCCCACCAGCCTG